AAAAAAAAAAAGTGTTCTTATATTTTATTTCATAGATATTTTGAGAAATTTTAAATGGAGGGATTTTAAATGCAGTCGTTTTGTTTGTTTTCCCTAGAATTAGAATGGATTTTAAACTTAGTTTTCACTATTAAAAAATTATTAGACCAATAAATGGTTGTATTTTGTAGGAGTCTTAGTGAAATTACTAATTTATCCTTAACATATAATTAATTTTTTTATTAATAAATGAGGATGGAAGGGTTATTTAGTAAATTACTTGTATTTTCTTTTCTTTTCTTTCCTCATGAACATCCTACATTCATTTCAAATATTTAACGTCTTAAATAAGATATAGAATTTAACACAATTTCTATTATTTCAAATCATCTTACAAACTTTGTTAATTTCAGACAGAGAAGTCTATAAAGTTCAAAACTAGAGTTTTTAGGACTTTTTTAACCACTCTAATCAAATGAAAATGAAAATTCTAATCCATGACTGCTGACGGAGGAGGTGGTGACTGGCAGCGGTAGAACTCAAAGCCGTTGCTTTTAGTTTCCAATAATCTTCACTATTTTATTAGTATTTTTTCCTTTGGTTCAGCAATGGTAAGATGAGAATCAAATTATGGACTCTTCAGACGGTAATAAATGTTTTATTTATCCGAATCAATACAATATTTTTCCTAACTAGACGTGACCAATCACAAATCTTTAGTCTAAGAGACGCAATGGAAAGTGTTCAGGGGATGCGAATGTAACCAATTCGTGGGAAAAATCCCCTCATCTTTCTCACCCTCTAACTCTAACTCTAAATTAAATTAATCAAAACGAGAATTAAACTAATTACATATAATATATATATATATATATATATATGTCAAATCAAAAGATTTTTTTTATTTAATACAGAAGGTAGGATGAGAGATTCGAACTCCGTCTTTTTTATTATAGATGTGCTTAATTATGCTAAAATTTACGTCAAATCATAATAATGGACAAGTAATTAATTTAAAACAAATATAAAGGGAAATAAAAAAGACAAAAGGCAAAAAGATTCCTAGTTTTGTTTTATTTTTCTATTACAATTTCATCAAGACATTAGACTCAATATATTTCTTTAAATATAATCATAACTTTATATTAAAGTATTTTCATTATGGATACAATCTGTTTTAAAATTTTTGTAGATAGAGACTAAAATTATCACTTTCTTAAAAATATAGGGACAAAAACGAACATTTTAAAAGAATAGGAACTAAAATGAACTAAAGTTCTAAGCACATAGACCAAAATGAATATTTTGAAACTACATAAACCAAAATGAACCAGACCAAAATAGTATTTTAAACCACATTTTTTAGTACACCAATGGTAGGAATGAGGGATCATACGATTGACTTTTGGAACGGTGATATGCGTATATAATCCATGAGTTATGTTTGAATTTACTTATATCAAAAATACTTTCTCGCACATTTATGTCCCAATTTTCAAACTTAGATCTAATGATGATTCAATATCATATCAAAGTAAAAACTTGAAATATTTGACAAAGTTTTTTGACATCCTCATTTTCATTTTAGTAGTCAATGTGTGTTTGAATCTCATGAATTCAAGTAATATCCAGTAAGTTTACATGTGATTAAGTAAAATTAAAACTTGCTGATCATTTCATTACAATAATTAAGGCTACGGTCTTTGATATATGCATTTTGTGAGTCTCATGTTTTATGATAAAATAATTAGAGTCATCATTTCTAATTTTAAAGTCAACAATAAGCCGTAAATAATATCTACTATTTTTCTTGAAGTTTGAGGATAGAATTTCCATTAAACTAATTTATCTAATTTTAGAGATAAAGGAAGAGATGCACTAGCACCTTTCGATTGGGGTCCGCCCCGAAGATTAGACCGTTGGGGTTAGATTTTGGAGTCTGCCGTCATGGTTGTGTTAATATTTTTTTGCCAAAGGGCAACATCAAAGCTATAAATTAGAAATAAATATATATTTTCACATGTGCATGTCTCCTATACATATACATAGATATGAAAAATGTAAATATGGAAGAAGTTTTTTGAAGAACATATAAGCAAGTGAAAGAAAAAAAAGGAAAAAAGTTGAAAATCATCATTCCATAATCTAGCTTTTCCAAATTAAAAGAGATCTTCCCTTATCCATTGGAAGTTTTTTGAAGTGTAAATTGGGATGACCCATTTTGGAACAAGTTCAATGATTCATGAAGGATTGAAAAGAGAGTTGTACAATGTAAGAAACTAAAAAGTTAGAAGAGGGAATAATATTACCAAAGAATGAAGAGATATATAATTAATGATTGATTTTTTGATCTGATCTACTCATCTTTTTTCTTTTAATTTCTTCAATTTGCATATATTTATATGGCAGAGATTATTCTAAAATGCTAATAACTAAAAGTGCAATGGGATTAATTATATAGGTCATGCGCACATGAACTGAATGGCTGAGAATATATTTGATCAAATCAGTCATGCAATTATGTAAGGATTCTGTTTCTTGTTTCTCGTTGTTTAGGAAAAATATTCTCAAAATTATATACAATTTTAAAAAAATAAACTTTAGGGATCGTTCAGTAATATTTCTAGTTTATTGTTTGTATTTTCCTCTTTTATAAAATGCATTTGATAACTGTTTCTTGTTTCTTGTTTTTTCTTTTTATTTTTTTTTTTTGAAAAATAAATTTAGTATTTTTTTTCTGGTTCTCTTAATATAAAATTAAAAGATCAAAATTTTACATGAAAATCAAATTTTTAGATAAAATATTAGAGAACTTTGTGGTTTTATTTAACCTAAAGTGTATTATGCATTTTGTAAGTAAAAATTGATAAAAGAATGAGACAGTTTTTATGTATATGTGTTTTGAAAACTAGAAACGAAAATAAGAAATAAGAAACCCTTTTTTTTAAAACATTTCTTTAAAATGAGAAATAAAAAATTACAAAGTCAGCTCTTTATATTTAGTACATAAAATAAATATAGTTACTAACGGTTTATCTTTCTAAAAATATAGAAATGAGAAATAAGAAAATTACCAAATTACCTCTTGGTTTTTTGTTTCTTATTTTTTTTCCTATTTCCATTTCTTCATACTTATTATTTTACCATGTTTGACTGATGAAATACATACTAAATATTTTTTTAAATAAATATTATTGTAGACATTTTCAATATTTATCATATAAGAAATTAATAAATGGTTAATTACGAGAGAAAAAATCCAGTTACCAAGCACAACTCTACTCATTTTCAATAAGAAAAACAAGTGGCTACCAAACATGTTTCTGTCTCTTTTATTTTTTCTAAAAACAAAAACCAAAAAATTCAGTTACTAAATATGATTCGTTTTTTCATTTGTACGAAAGAGTAAACAAGAAACTGGAATATTAACCAAGCGTGAGTAATGAGTGGCGATAAGAATGAGTAGTTATTTGAAGGGTTTATATAATTATTGAGCTGGAAAACTTGACACAACTTGCTWTGGTTCATGCATTTAATTAGCTCTCTACATGATTGGTTTGAAAAAATGGGCAACAAATAGAGAATCAACTAATTAAGATTTGTTTGTGATTTGGGGTTTTGGGATTTCTTTTTATCTTAATGGAGAAATAGAACTCTCTGGTAAATATTAGTTTTGGTTTGYTTTCATAGAGAAAAAATGTTTGTTAGGTTGTTGACTTGGTCAAGTTTTCATGTGTAACTTTTTTTAAGAGAAACTTGGATCCTAGCTATCAATATCTAAGCCTCTTAGCCTCTTGCCACTTTACCAATCCYTGAAGGTGCTGCATGATTGAACTTTAGACAATGTTTTTATTTAATCTTCACGGTTAATTAAATGTTTTGATATGAGATATTAATTATTAATTTTTTTTGTTGAATTGATATGATTGGGTTCAAGCCACATGTGACGCAATTTATACTAAGTCAATGATTCCTTGCATATGTACGGATATAAGGACAATGCACATATCCCTAGGTATGAGAATATAAAGGTCAAAGGGCCGCCGACTCCCATCTRGRTAATCAAAAAATAAAAGTATGATGCGGCATAAAGTTGAGGTTGAATAATTGTGGCATGTCAYGTCAGCACCCTATTTATGGTACTAATATGATATTTTTTTTTACTCTCTTTGTTTTTAGTACAATAAGTACGGGTCAGTAATTCGAACTCACGACTCCTTAGATAAAAGGTTTCAATTACAGTCGAGCTAAATACTGRATTCAAATTAAATACCAAAAAATTAAAATTGTTATTTAACTATTTTTGGCACAAGATTGTTCTACTGTTTAATTTCTTTGTTTTGGTCTATGAACTCAAATATATATAATTTTATCCTTAAACTTGGCGAGGT